AAATTAAAGATTGAAATCATATCATGCATCTTTTCCAACTATGGTGATATGAAACTAGAAACCAATCACAAAAAATATGGAAAGAATGCAAATATATGGGGCTGAATAACATCTTACTAAAGATTGAATAGGTTGGGGATCCCTGGGTGGCTCAGCAGTTTGGCGCCTGCCTTTGGCCCAGGGCGTGATCCCTGGGTCCCGGGATCGAGTCCCACGTTGGACTCCCTGCATGGAGCCTGCTTCTCCCTCTGCCTGTGTCTCTGCCCCCCCCCCCCACTATCATGAATAAATAAAATTTTAAAAAAATGAATGATTAGATCAGAAATCAAGGTGGAAATAAAAAAAAATACATAGAGACAAGTGAAAATGAAAATCATCCAAAGTCTTTGGGATGCAGCAAAAGCTGTTCTAAGAGGGAATATAATAGCAATACAGGCCTACCTCAAGAAACAAGACAAATCTCAAACAACCTAACCTTATACCTGAAGAGACTAGAAAAATAATAAAGGCCAAAGCCAGCAGAAAGAAGTAAGTAATAAATATTAGAGCAGAAATAACCAGAGACCAAAACAACAATGAAGCAGCTCAATGAAACCAGGAGCTGGTTATTTGAAAAGTTTTTTTTTTCCTTTTTTTAAAATAATATTTTTATTTATTTTTTTATTTATGATAGTCGCGCAGAGAGAGAGAGAGAGAGAGAGAGAGAGAGAGAGAGGGGCAGAGACACAGGCAGAGGGAGAAGCAGGCTTCATGCACCGGGAGCCTGACGTGGGATTCGATCCAGGGTCTCTAGGACCGCGCCCCGGGCCAAAGGCAGGCGCTAAACCGCTGCGCCACCCAGGGATCCCCTGGTTATTTGAAAAGTTAAACAAAATTGTTAAACCTTTAGCCAGATTCATTAAGAAATAAGGAGTGAAGATTCAAATAAATAAAATCAGAAATGAAGGAGAAAAACAACCAACACCATAAAATTATGAAGGTTTATAAGAGAATATTAAGAAAAATTGTATGCCCCCATATGGACCACCTAGAAGAAATGGATAAATTCCTAGAAACATATAACCTTCGAAAACTGAATCAGGAAGAAATAGAAAATTTGAACAGGCTGATTACTAGTAATGAAATTGGATCAGTAATACAAAAGTCCCCAAAACAAAAGTCTAGGACCAGATGGAATCAGAAGTGAATTCTGCAAAACACTCAAAGAAGAGTTAATACCTATTCTTCTCAAACTATTCTAAAAAGTAGAAGAGGAAAGAAAGCTCTCAAATTCATTCTGTGAGGCCAGCATTACCCTGTTACCAAAACCAGATAAAGACACAACAGGTAAAGGTCAGTATCTCTGATGAACATAGATGCAGAAATCCTCAACAAAATATTAGTAAACTGAATCCAACAATACATTAAAAAATTCATTACAATCAAGTAGAATTTATTCCAGTATTGCAAAGGTGGTTCAGTATTCACCAATCAGTCCACATAATATGTTACATTAAAATCATGTTTAATATGTTACATTAAAAAAGAAAAAGAATAAAAATCATGATCATCTCAGTAAATGCAAAAAAATAATTTTACAAAGTATAACATCTATTCACAATAAAAACTCTCAATGAAAATGTAGAGGGAACATAGCCTCAACATAATAAAAGGCCATATATAAAATCCTTACAGCTAATATCATGCTCAATGGTGAAAACCTGAGAGCTTTTCCTCTAAGATCAGTTACAAGGCAAGGATGTCTACTCTCATCATTTTTTTCAACATAGTACTGGAAGACCTAGCCACAGCAATCAGACAAGAAAAAAAAAAGGCATCCAAATTGTTAAGGAAGAAGTAAAACTTTCACTCCTTGAGGATGACATAATAGTGTATGTAGAAAATTCTAAAGACTCCACCAAAAGACTACTAGAACTGAATAAATTAATTTACTGAAGTCTCAGGATACAAAGTTAATATATAGAAATCTGTTGCATTTTTACACACAAATAGTGAAGCAGCAGTAAAAGAAATTAAGAAAACAGTCTCATTTACAATTGCACCAAAAGTAATAAAATACTTATGAGTAAACTTAACCAAGGAGGTGAAAGACTTCAAATACTATAAAAAACTGATGAAAGAAACTGAACATGACACAAACAAATGGAAAGATGTTCCAGGCTCATGGATTGGAAGAAATAATATTGTTAATATGTCTGTACTAACCAAAAACAGTCTACAGATTTAATGCAATCACTATCAAAATACCAACAACAATTTTTATAGAAGTAAAACAAATAATACTAAAATTTGTATGGAACAATGTGGGTGGACCCAGAGGGTATAATCCTAAGTGAAATAAGTCAACCAGAGAAAGTCAAATACCATATGATTTCACTTATATGTGGAATATAAGAAACAAAACAAACAAAAAAAGAGAAACAAAAAATGGATTTATAAATATGGAGTACAAACTAGTGGTTGCCAAGAGTGGAGGTAGGTTGGGGGAAGGGTCAAATAGATGAAGGAGATCAAGAGTATACTTACCTGGATGAACACTGGATAATGTTGAATTGTTGAATCATTATACTTGAAATGAATCTAACACTGTGTGCTAATTATAATTTTAAAAAGGAGTGGAAAATATTACATTAAAAAAAACAGTACTCGTAGGATCAATGCCAAGTTTGGCTTGTTTGTTCTTTAAGAGTTGGAATGTCTTGGATGAGATAGGGGCATTAGCCCTATTCTGTGGTCCCTCTTGTGAGTTTCCTCTTGCCCAAAAAGTGGCTGTGGGCTCCTACACCACCACTAGTCTGGGAAGAGCCCACGCTTTCTTAGGAGGATCCTTTTAGGGGAGAAAGAAGTAGTAGGGGAACACAGGAAAGTGGAACTGCGGAGTTGGGGTGCCTGCCCCTGCCCCAGAATGTACCTATCAGGGGAGAGGGGCTCAGAGTGGGAATGAGCACTTGGATTTCCCTTCTTTTTTCCTTATCAGAGTGCGGAGTGGAGTGAATATCTTTCTTTCTGGATAAATCCAGGGGTAGCCTGTCATTTTGTGGGACTGTTCTGCTTTTGTGCCTATTGAGTCTGACTGGGACAACAAATGGTCAACAGAGGCTTGGGAATCCCTGCAATAAAGGACCCCAGGGACCTTCACCATTTTTTTTAGTTGATTCTGGAAAACTAAACAAGCTCTCTGTATTTATCCCAGTTCAAAGTAGAAAACCAGTCTATAGTATTTGAGGGTTACCTCAGCAGGGCTCTAGGCCATGCTATGCCAGTAGGCACCAGCATCAGTATAGTTGATTTTTATGTGGTTGGATTGGCCTGTGTGGGTTCCACATTGACTGTTTCATGTGTTGAATATCACCCCTGGCCTTAGGAGAAGAACGAATGTTGCCAAAACAGAACTAGTTCTATGAGAATATATTGAGATACAGTCTTTGTTTTGCTTCTAAATTTTTTTTCATAATTTTTCTAGCTTCACTGTAGGAAGGTAATAAACATCAAAGCTGGCATAGTCAATGATCCCTTTCCAGAGATATGACCAGACAAGCCTCCTTTCATTGGGCTCTTGGGGAAAGTACATTCCCAGGAGGGGAGAGGAACATTAAACCATGTGTCACTCATTCTGCAGGAATGGAAATGTTGGTTCCTCTGGTTGTAATAATTTAGAGATTAAATGTTGGACATGTGACTGCAGGAAGGCTATGATTTGTTTTTTAAATCATAAAATCTTGTTTCTGTTTCTCATCCTGTATGCATCTCCTTTGGAAAGCCATATAACTTGTCCAGCATGCCATTGTATGGAATTGTGTCAGCAAGTTTGTGGTTCTCTCCATAAATCATGTCATGTAGAGACTGCTTTCATAAGCCAATCCCCCACCTGGCCACAATGCCCTGAAAAAAGAATGTGCTTTGTTATGTGATTGGAAGCTTCCAAATCAGTCTTGGCTGTTTTCTATTACTTAGGTCCTTCTAACTTTCCCTTAGCTATTATAGAAACGTTGCCTTTACTAGGCTTACCAGCATCTAGTGGCCTGAAACTTTATCACAGGGAGTATCACTAATCATTTTCAATTGTGTGAAGGTTTGGGACCTGACTTCTGATAACCTGTAATACTCAGTACCACAACTGCCTTTTATTTTCCTGCCTACGTGTCACATCCTACTTGTTGGAACATGATATTTGTGGCTTGCAGAATCCTAAACCTAACCGAGTGATGGATGTGCTGTCGATGATTAATCCACATCTCTATGTAGTTTTGAGTCTATTGCTTTTCGATTGATTTGTGCTGAGGTTTAAGCAACTAACTGAATGGCTGCTAAGGCTTGATTCTTAACTGTAATACTTTTCCTAGGTGTGTTTGGTGTGAATTCCAAAGAATCTGCTGACAGTCAGATAATAAACAAAACAAAACCCCACATAAGCTAAGAATATAGTCTATACAGTCTGGCTAAGCATGTTGTCATGGCCAGGGAGGGCTACCTTTCTCTCCACACCCCGTCCCCCAACCAGTGCCAGATACTGTCTAATTATACTCTTTAGTTCTTAGCAGACAAACTAGTATCTGCTCCGTGCAGAGAGTCTCTCTTACTTGTTTCAACTTTGTTCCCTTTTATGTCTACCCAACCCATTTCCTTTAGAGCACAGGCAACCAGAATGGAAGGGCTTCCAAAACCTTACTTTGGGCATTTTAGCTCCTACAATTCTGGGCCACTGAAGATGGCACATAGAGTAGCCTGAATGGGACTTAGCGAATTTTTGTACTATTTGGATATTTTGTTGAGAGGTGTTAGTTCCACTAGCATAGAGAACTATTTTCTAGTGCATCTTTTTGTTTCAGGTTGTGTTTTATTGTTTTGTATATTACATATTTGTAATTCATGTAAATAATATCATGATGTATCTCTCATTACGTTTTTCTTTATTCCTTTTTTTGGGGGGGACCTGTCCATGTTGCTTTGACAAAACCTCATATCTTGTTTCTAATTGCCACTCCATATTATACATTCAGCACGTTGATTCATCCGTATTCCCAGTGATGGACTGAGGTTGCTTCCAGTATCCCTTCCCATCATACCTATCACTGCAATGAAGTGACCAAGGTAAATACGTTTACCAATTAACTGATAGATTTTCTTCTTTAATGTATCTCTCTTATGTTTATGAAAAACTGAATTTATGAGATAAATTTTAGTTTTTGTTTCAATTTCTTTTTACCCTTTAAAAAATCGTTTAATATTTTACATAATGCTCCATGGTTTAAAGGTTATTTATAGATTAGTCGTGCCCTTTGCTCAAAATTGATCTGTTTTCTCTTCTTGCTTAAATTCACAATTATCATAGTTTTCTGTTGTGCTCACTGGGTGACCTATATGTTTGAGAAAATAACTCAGTTTGCATTTTTTGTCATGGTAACAGTACCATTTCTGTAATAATTCAAAATGTAAATTAAGAAAATCCAATACTACAACAGATACTGAAAATCTGTATAAGGTTGTAGGTGTCTTAGAAAAATTCTATGAAAAAAAATTCTACACATGACAGAGATAGAATGGCTAGAAGATGTGTTTTCCACATATTTTTCTTTGTCTTGAAAAACCCATCTGTTAGCTCTGCCATGGGTGGCTAACCCTATGGTTCAATATTTTCCAACTCTCTAGAATACTAAGCCAAGGGTAAACTGAAAATAATGAATGTGGCTTTCTTCATGGAAAAGAATTCACAATATTATTTTGGAGAGGAATCTATGAAACGATGAGATTGTCCTTTACCCAAACTATCTTCTGAGCTAAGCTGCCAGAGGTGAGTTAGGAGCACCAAGTGTTATAAGACCCTTCAACAAGTCTGGTTGTGGCAGGCTGTACTAGGATAATGTGCTTGGCCAAGGCAGCCACGTGCAGACTGAGTTGTGATCTACAAAGGACCCCATTTGAGAACTTAGTTCCAAAGAGGTGCTACAGTTTGAAAATGATTAATTGGAACAATTAGATCATTTGTATGGGGGTTCTTAGAACACAGGGAAAGACACTCATAATGGAGTAAAAAGAAGCAGCTGATAGAGAAATAAAATAGTTGAAAAAAGAAAATAATAGATTGATTTAATTTCTGTGGCATCCTAAAAAAAACTCCAGCTTTCTTTAGACCTTTTAGAATATTGGGACGATTTTCTGTGTGTGATTCTATTCTTATAATATATATATAGTAATTATATATTATATTATTAATATATTAATGTATTCTTATATAATCTATATATTCTTATAATATATGATAATTATATTATATATTATATTATTAATATATTAATAGTATATAATATATTGTATAACATATTATATAATACTATAATCTTATATATAATATTAATATATGATATATATATTTAAAACTGAACACATTCCAAATAATGGCATAGAAGGCAAAACCCAAAGTTGAAAGTGGTAATGAAAACAAAGTAGATTCTAATTTTAGTAATTTATATTCTAAGTATAAGTAAATAAAGAGGATATTGAACTCAAGAAAATATATTGGAACTCTTGAGTCACTATAAAGGGAATGGCGTATTTAGCTTCAATTATGTCCATGTGTTTAAAATGGAAGGGATGATTTACAACTGATTTTTTTTAATACAACAGTGATTGAACTTGGGATATTTTAATCTGCTGATGGAAGGTAAGAATATTGCCCATGGTTGAAAAGCTTCAAAGTGGTAGAAGCTGTGGGTCACAGAAAGTAATATCAAATATCTATGTCCTTAGCTCTATTTTACAGCCTCCTTTTAATTAGTTTACATGATGAGTTCTGATCAGTGGCCTATGTATAGATGTGACATGTGTCATCTCCAGGCTATGATAGTCATTATAGTTGTGAATCTTTTCTGCCCTCTCTTTGCCTGTCTGGGAGATCCTGAAAGCCATGCGATGAGATGATGGGAGTCACAAAATAGAAGTGAACTTCCCTGAAGAGTATCTAGACTTGCAGATGTTAGTGAGAATGGGTAATAAACTTTTACGTATAGAACGACTGAGATTCTTGAGGTTGCTCGTTACTTACTGCCAAGCTCATCCTGGGTGGGATTTGGATCCTAGGCAGTCTTTTTTACTAGAAATTTATGTTCTACCCACTGCATTAAATTGGCTTTAGCAAAGTAGAGGGCTCTGAGATTGATGAGTTCCCCCTTTGTCATCTCAAAAAATGGGGAAAATAAACTGCATCCAATAGGAGTGTTATAAAAGCTAAATGAAGTAACTGTTTTAAAATGTAGGTTTTATTTTTATTCACCTGTAGTGGGGCCAACTGATCAGGATCTGCTATTGAAAAGATAGCTTGTAACTTACAGTTCCCACGTGGAGCAGGTGCACACATTGCAGGGCCACATGGGGAAGCACCAGGGCTGGTTGGGCTGCAGAGGGAATGAGGGGCAAGAGGCTTTATTTACAGTCTGTACTGTCAATCTAATCTATCTCTGTAATTCAAAGAGATCTTCAAAAATGTGTTGTTGATTATGTTCACTTCTCTTTTTTAAAGCCCTAAATTAGTTCATGTTCTTCTCCCTGTTTGTGTTACTCTAACCTCCAAAATTAATGAGAATTAATCCTATTTATTTTGTAAGTCTCAGTGAATAACATTTCTTCCAGGAGATGCTTCCTTAGTCTCACCCAACTTAGCCCCATCCTGTGTACCTTTCCCATTAGGCCTGTGTGAAGGGCCCTCCTCAGCCAATGTTAATTCCCTTACTATATGCTCTCATAGCACCTATATTTCTCTTTTGTCACACTGACAGTTTTTTCATGATAATTCATTCAGTATTTGTCCGATTTTCAGCTGTTGGCTCCAAAAGAGTCCATTTTATTGCTACAATTCTAGCACCATGGCGCATGGTCCATGCTCAAGGCATGTTTGTGGCAGGACTTGAACCTGTCTTATTCTTCATAGGACTGGAGGCTTTAAAACAATGCCTGGCCCCTTACAGATGCACAGTAAAAATTTGTTTGAATAAAATCAAGTGTAAATCCTCATAAAAATCCTCTAAGTCACAAATTGTTCTAAGAACTTTGAAGGGTGAGCAGATAGATGCTCAGGAAATGAAGACTTACTTGCCTAAGATGCTCCACAAGATGGAAGCACAGTTGGGACTCCTACTGAATTCTTCCAAGTTCAGTGCGTGTCTTCCCTAAGATAATGCTTAGTCTGAATTAGCAGGTTGTTTGACAACAGTGGAGCATTTTAGTGTTTGTTGGTCTTTAATGTGCATCTGAGAATCTTGATCAGCCGCAGATTCTGAGTTAGTAGGTCTGAGATGGCATCTGAAACTCTGCATTTCTAACAATGCAGGTGATTCCCATGCTGCTGGTACAGTGACCACACTTTGAGTAGGAAAGATAAAGATTACTCACAGATTAATATTCCTATCATGTGCGCTTATAACTTCAACAGAGAATAAAGTAGAAATACAGAAAAAATAGTGTAAAGGCTTCTTAAGGGTAACAGTATTCAAGCAAGATTAGTTGCCTAAATTGATAAAATTCAATAGACAGTCGTTCAGCTCTACCTAATTTTGCTGCTGGGAAGAGTGGGAGGGTGTATAATTCTAAAACCAGACGCTTGTTTTTGTTTCACCTTCAATAATAAGTTGAAAATAACACAGTTTCAGTCAAAATGAACTCTAAGATTTATAATGGGCTTCTCATGTGATGGTACAGAGTCATTCTTAGGATGCCATTTCCAGGGTGCCCTGGAAAACAGACTTTGGAGACAGAAATTTGCTTGTGTAGGAGGTTTACTGGGAAGCAAGGATTGCAGGATGGGTACAGGGAGAATTTGAGCATAATGTCTTTGCAGCAGAGCTTTGGCTGATCCTATGGGCAGCTCTGAAATGAAATGACCCTCACGGCTGTCCCAGATCCTGGCATGAAGCCTGGGTTTTCATACCCCCACGGAACCAGTCTTTGGATGCAGACTGCCAGCCCAGGAGGGGTATCACTTAAATGAGGTGGCTTTGCCCAAGGATGATTCACAGAAAGGGACACAGAGTGGGCAGTCAGCAGCCCTCACATCCAGAATCCTGGAATGGGAGCCCCAGCACAGAGGGGGTCCCACAGCATCATACATTGTTTCTAGTACTTAGGCAGTTCTCATGACTATCTTCACTACCATCTCTGGGTTTTGTAAATATTGTTCTGTAGACTCTCCAGAGAAACAGACTTTTTTTGATGCAAAGAACTGGAGGTGGCTAGGAAAGAGTGGGGCCAGGGAGAGTGAGTTGGACAGCAGTAGTCTACTACTTAGACCTAATGTTAGGCATATTCAGAGCACTCTGAAATAATGACTACTACAAAAATTTCATTATACCCACACCGTGTCTATTGAGTCCACCCACATGTCTGCCCCTTATATTTTTCTAACTTTTCCCTTCTTGGTTTCTCTATTATAAAATGGGGGCTTTCAAACAGATGATCTATAAAATCCCAGACAGTTTTAATAAAATTCTGATTATATAACTCTTTCTCCTTCTAAATCCCTGCCCTTATCAACTGGCTCAGAGAACAGAAACTTGGCTTAATCCAAAGATGTTTTTTTGCCCACAAACATCTATTCCAAGAAATACCTAAAAAGAAAAAGGAACAATTGGAATAAGTGTGCACCCTTTTATATCACATATCTCTTTTAAACTAAAAAATCTGCTTAAAGTTTATTTTAACTTCATATTTATTTTAACTTCATAGAAAATTTGGAATATAGAGAAAACAGAAGAGAAATATCTTAACTTACCTTTTAACATTTAATTCTGTTTTTCCTCTTTCTGTATACTTTAATCATATAGATGCAATTTTGCATCCTATTTTTTTTCATTTAACGTTGAATATCCAAAGATTTCCCATATGTACTGAATTTTTTGTCACTGAATTCAAATACCTTCATATTATTTTGAACAAAATAAATTAGAATTCCTTTAACACTTCAAATTTGGGAGTTTTATTATTAGTATTATTTTTTAATTTGCCTAGTGGGTATAACTTTATCCACAAACTTTTCCTAAAAAAATTGGATGATGTCTTAGGATAGAATCCCAGAAGTAGGAAATGAAGCAGATTTTAAGGTT